GCCAACCCTAGAATCATACAAGATCTTTTCCAAAGTGAAAAAGACTTGAGAGAAAGCTCAGGTGGTAAAGGACCTACCTAGTAACAAAAATCCCTGAGTTTATCCCCCAGATTCACAGAAGGAAATTGCTAAATGCTTTGCTTATAAAGTCTTAAGAGAAAAGCCAGTCCTCCCAATCACCTTGCGAATGGCCAGCTGTACATCTTTGTTCCTGAGGCTGTACACCATGGGATTCAGCAGTGGGGTAATGATGGTGTAGGTCACTGTCACTAGCCTGTCTTTGCCTGTGGTATATTTGGTGGAGGGTCTCAGGTAGACGAAGGATGCAGATCCGTAATGGACGGTGACCACAATGAGATGAGAGGCACAGGTGGAAAAAGCCTTCCGCTTGCCGTCGGTGGATGGGATCTTCAGGATGGTGCGGACAATGAAGCTGTAAGAGATGCAGATGAAGGTCAAGGGCACAACGAGCAGGAAAACCCCGCAGAGGAAGATGACCATTTCATGGATGTGACTCTCAGCACAGGCTAGACGGATGACTGGTGAGATATCACAAAAGTAATGGTCAACCTTGTTCGGACCACAGAAAGGGAGACTGAAGACCAAATTTGTCCCTACTAGAGACATCAGGAAGCCGACAGCAATGCAAGTACTTGCCAGCTGCTTACACACTTTCCAGCTCATGAGAGTGGGGTACCGCAGGGGGTGGCAGATGGCAGCATAGCGGTCATAACCCATCACCCCCAGCAGCAGGCAATTGGTGAGGGCAAACCCGAGGAAGAAGTACATCTGGGTGGCACAACTCACGAAGGAGAGCGTCCTCAGGACAGAGAACAGGTTAATAAGCATCTTGGGCAGGATGACAAGTGTATAGAAGATCTCTGAGGTGGAAAGAACACCCAGAAAGAAGTACATGGGTGTGTGCAGACTGCGGTCCAAGCGGACCACTGAGATGATGATGACGTTCCCACTCAAGATGACCAGATAGAGGCAGAGAAACACCCCAAAAAGGACAAACTGCAGGTCCCCGAGGCTGGAGAAACCCAACAGGAGGAACTCCGTCACCAAGGAGGAGTTAGCCATGAAGAGCTGCTCCCCTGAACTAAAAGTCAATCAGACAGAAGTACCGTTGTCCTCCTAAAGCAGCCATCCCAGTCATGTCTGAATGAGGCAAACGTGGGAGAGAGAGGGGGGGAGAGGTTTTTAATGAATTGGGAATTATTGTACATTGAAATGCGCTCATGTCACTACCTTCCTGCCAGTAATTTTCCTGTGAATTGAGGGACAAGTTCAGGCGATGACAGGCAATATCTGCTTAATTTTTCACTCGTTTATACAGAAGCATTTATCTATTTTACTTATTATTTTGAGTGATCAGACTTTTCCCTCAAACTCAGTAAATATACTGATATATATGTATATATACATGCACACATATACACATATAAGTAATGGCATCAATATCTGAGTCTACGCGCACACACACACACACACACACACACACACACACACACACACACACACACACACACACACACCTTCTCTTCACTTACTCCTGATCTAGAGAAGCATCCATTGATCTGTCTTTGTATCACATGCCTTTTGGTAGCTCAGTTCCCAGGCACAACTAATTGGCTTTTCTGCTTCCACAAAGCCACCCACTGATTCGGTATCAAACTACTGCCACTATCTTAGAACTAACTTTATGATTCTCTAAAACTCTTATCAGGCACTAGACCTGACCTCTCCTTACAGAAAACACATGGCTAGAAAATTTAGTGTACATCAATGCTGATGGCCCGTTTATGTCTTACTTTTGATATCCCTGACTTAGAGGATCAACAAACTGTCACCCCAGGAAGGACCTGCCTCAGATTCCCTGAATAAGGAGGTTCAGATACTTCCCCCTAAAGCCACTGAAACAGTTATCATTTCTGGAACTCTCTGAAAGCGTTATCATTTCTGGAATTCTAAACTTAATGTCTTTTCATCAAAACATTTTATCCTTTCTCACCTTCTGTCCAATGTGCTCCTCTATCTAGATTCTGCATCTCAATAGAGTTTCACCATACTCTTAGTCATGACAGCTCTACTTTCTAAGAAACATTTAAACTCACCAGTTTTCTTATCTTCCAGATCTGATTTATTCTTTGTCTGAAGAACCTCTACAATCGATTCATTCTTTTCTGCAAGAAATTAGCTCTTGCTGAAGACTATTATAAATGGACTCCCTAGATTACCACTACTTATTTCAAACCATCCTCCAGAGATGTTTTGCTTTACATAGGGCAAATCTTATTTTATTACCCAAACTAATCAGCCCTAAATCATCTGTAAAATATTCTAGAGTCTTCCTACTTGTCTCAAAACTACCTTTCTACTCATAACTGCCACTTCTTCCATACTTCAACATTGAGGCATTTTAAACTATTATGGCATTTTTTCACAGTATTTCCAACATCTGGAAATATCCCATTCTTATGTTTTTGTTGACATTATCCTTTTATATCATCTTTAATCAGCATACCAAGGGATTTCAATTCAACGTATCCGTTTGGGAGTTCCTAACATCACCCCTTACTCCATTCTCCCTCATCTCTCCTAAACCCAACTCTCTTAATTTCATGGATTTCTCCCAATTTTCAATTTGAAGACATGACTTATGAAATCTTGTAGCATGCTAACTGTGCTATATGACTTCTTCTGAGTTTTTTTTAGTAATCACTAAAGGTATCTGCTTCAACACTATTGTTATAAATGTTTGCCTCCAAGTCTATGAAGCATGCCCAATATCTGTCACAGTGTTCAGTATATGCTAAAGGCTATGAAGTTTGTTGAAAAAAGTAAATATGAATTATCCAATTCCTCCATTAACTCATTCTCAGACTCCCAGGTAGATGGCACTTGACTCTAGGAGTTTTCCAAACATGTTAGTCTTTTAATTAATTAACTTTCTGAAGTTGGGAGTTAGGATGTAGGGGTGTGGGCAGAGCACTTGCCTAACACTTGTGAGAGCCAGCTTTCCTTCACAAAACTGCAGGAAAGAGGAAGGGGGAGAAGAAAACAGGGGGAGGAGGAGGAAGAATAAGTAGAAGAGGAGGAGAAGGAGGAGTAAAAAGAGGAAGAGAAGGAGGAGGAGAAGCAGCAACAGTAGCTAGTTTATCTACATTTCCAATCCAGTGGTCTTCATGCTTACTATTTCATTGTTCATTTAAAAACAATTTTTTCGGTCAGGGGGCCTGAACTCTGGGCCTGGGCACTGTCCCTCAGCTCTTCAGCTCAAGGCTAGCGCTCTATCACTTGAGTGACAGTGCCACTTCTGGCTTTTTCTACTTACGTGGTACTGAAGAATCAAATCCAGGACCTCACGCACGTAAGCACTCTACCACTGAGCCAACTTCCCAGCTCTATTTTAAAATTTTAACACCTTTACTTTGAAGTTTGAATTACTTTGCAGCTAACTAAATTTCTGTCATTGCTGTTTTGCTTAAACAAAGGTTTAACAAAATTTTTAGTTTGGCTTGAATGAACTACCACTTTTATATTTCACTAAATTGCTTTATTACAAACTTAATGACTAAGAAGCATACATTATGCATTTGATTGGGGCAAAGTCCCCAGCTATGTTCTTCCTGGAACATCACCTCCACCATTCACTTGCCAGGTTTCTTTCCTACGGCTAATATTTAGGGGTATAAATGGGAGTTAAGTCATGGGTAAAACACCACAATTTAAAATTTTACCTACTACTAAATTACCCATAGACCTCGTTCTTCAGATTATGAAATCATAGTTCCTAAATAGAATATTTCAAATTCCTTCAAAGCTGAGTTCTGCTGCAACATGACATGTAGGTGTCTTCATTCTTGAGCACTTCCTGCTGTTTCCTGAAGGAGGTTTCTGGAAGTGTCTAAGTGAAATTTGCCAACATGTTTTCCCTGTTACAATTCAAGAAGCCTCTTCTTTCTTTTCCCAGACACTCTAGACCAGACCACAAGAAATTGTCCACATCAGAATATCACCTGTTGTCTTCTCTCTATAAGTATCTTAGGTGTTGCTTCAATGAATATTGTCAATGGTCTTTGCTTTTACATTGGCTAAGACCTCTGTGCCAATTACTTCATTGGTAGCTGAAATCTCTACCTCCATAGGGAGCTAATTACCACATTGTATCTAAATTGTCCATATTTTCCCCAATTATGAAGTAGCATCATAGATGGTAATACACTATAAGAATTATTTGGGGAGGAGGCTGCAATGCTTGATAAGAAATGTACTCATTATCTTGCCCATGTAATTGTAACCCCTCTGTACAGTATGTTCACAAAAAAATTTAAAAAATTTAAAAACAAAAACAAAAAAAAAGAATTATTTGGCCCAAGAGAAGGCCCTTTCTAATACACCATGGAAATTAATTGACTTCTCCTTAGACAACCTCTGGACACTTATTAGAAAGTAGAGGGTTTCTTGGCACCATTTCTTAAACTAGACATCAATGAAACTGCCTCCTTTGGGTTTTCCCACCCTGTGCTTCCAGATTTTCATTTTCATAACTTTTTAATGAATATATATTAATTGTCTAGAATAATGTATTTTGTTGTGGCCATTTTTAATGCATATAACATGCCAAGAAAACTCTTTTTTAAAGATAACGTATTTCCCACTTCCAAGTCTAAAAAAAGGAAGAAAGATATGAAGAACAGAGGACAGAATATTAGAATGTCAGAGGCAGCATAAATATTTAAGACTCAGAAGAAACATGTTTTATTCCTGCAATTTAATATGAGTTTAGTAAATATTTGTTCAATAAATAAAAGAAGTTTAGAGTTGTGGAGAAAAATGTGATTGATTGCACCTTGGTTTAGGTATTTGAAGAGTGCTTAGGAGCTCTCCATATTTTAGGTACCACACTGATTCTTGATTCTTTCTCATATAACTTCCAAATATTTCAGCTGAAAAATGATCAAATGCTAAACACTCCTGGATGTCTCTTAGAAAAGCTCTTACAAACTGCATTTCTATGAGTTATGACAGGGATGCTTGCAGAGATGGGAAGTTAAGAAAAAGCAAACCCACATTGTTAACTGAGAAATAGTAGTGACTTCTTTATCCTTAGTTTTATCTACGATTGGGACAATGACTAGACCTTTTTTGCTGAGAAAATTCATCCACAGGCTTTATCTTCCTTGTAGATGTACAGAAGATTAAAGACAACCACACCTTTTGCTTTATACTTCTCACCTAGAAAGCCCTTCCCCTTAAATGGAGATAGAGAGATATTTTTTGGCCACTATTCTATAACTAAAGTTACACTGTAACCATTTATAAACTCTGATATTTAGAGTCTGGCACCTTCTTCTTCCTATTTAGGACATCTTTTAATATTTTTCCATCCTAACCATCATATTTTGGGGAAGCTCAAGCAACCCTTGAAGAATACATGTGGCAGAAAACCAAGACTCTTGCCAACATTCCCAGCTGAATACAATCAGTAACAAACATGAACTAATGTGCAATGTAAGTAAACAATGTTGAGATGGCCCAGAGGAACAATCAAGCTGGATCTGGATAGAGAAAATGCAATCTGTCCCCACTGATCTCTGACAAAATTGTAAATTCATGTGCAAAATGCATAATTATTGCTACTTTAAGCAACTCAAGTTCAAGATAGTTTGTTATACAGCAATAAATAATGTTTTAGATGTTAGTATCCAAAGACAGGATGCAGTTGTAATAAAAATTGAAGAGCTAAGAGGTATACATGTCTGTATACCTGCCCTGGGAGTCTGAGTCCGGCAGGGGCACACAGTGAGTTCAAAGTCAGCCAGGGCTACATATTAAAACATTGTTTCAAACAAAACTAAAAAAAGATGTAAAACAATTTCCCTTGAGTTTAGAAGCAGTGATGTGGGGAATCTGCATGGAAGGTGAAAGTACCATGATAAATCTCTTAGGATTTTAAGAATTTTTAGAGTTTGGCTGAAAAATCAATAACCACCTTTGATTGTTGGAAATTTTAATAGTACTGTCTCAGGTTATAGCTTAAAATAATTTTTAATAAATTTACAGGTCTTCCCTGGGAAATCTCAAGTGAGGATATAGAAAACACCATTCATGACAAAACATAATTTAGTGATATTAATGTGTACCTAGTCAGTATTCAGACGCCTTTTCTAAAATATACTGTTGGTCATCCTGATTGTCTCAATAAAAGTAACAAGAAAGAGTATCACTCTAGGTAACTGTGGGTGCTATGATAAACAGGATAGCTTCTTCCTCTACTCTATCATGAGCTTTGTGGAAAGTCAACTTTGAAGGGGAAATGAAATCTACTAAGGCGATCTAGAAAAGAGCAGCACAGATGCTAGTTCCTTTGTAATATACTGTTATAAGATGTAAAATATGTGACATAAAGCTATAATTTTTTCCTGTAAAATTAGAGAAAATTTAAAACTTAAGTGCTAAATATGATAAAGGAGTAAATGGTAAAAAAAAAATTGAGTGCAATAGTTTATATGAATTTAGCCACATCAAAGGAAGCTCATTACGTGGGTCCATGGGTGGACCTTAAACACTTTAAACTTAACTACATAGTAAGCAACGTTTTCTCCTTATGTGCATGAGAAAAAGTTTATGCATGAGATATATAGCTTTTGACAAACTTTTAAGGAAAGTTTATTTCAATATGTGATGTAGAAAAATTAAGGTCATACTGGCCATGCCAATGGCTTGACTTGTTATACACACAGCTATATTCTGGATTTTTTAAAATATTTGCCAATAAATAGCATCATAATACCTTTTTCTACAGGAAAAACATGCCATAATTGTGTGTGTGTGTGTGTGTGTGTGTGTGTGTGTGTGTGTGTGTGTGTGTGTGTGTGTGTGTGTGTGTGTGTGTGCTGGTCCCAGAACTTAACCTCAGGGTCTCAGCTCTGTCCCTTACCTTTCCCACTTAAGACTACCCCTCTACCCCTTGAGCCACAGCTCCTCTTTTGGCCTTTTGCTGGTTAAATAGAGATAAGAGTATCACTGACTTTGCTGTTTGGACTTTTTAAACCTTGAGCTGCAGATCTTAGCCTCCTGGGTAGCTAGTATTACAGGCAAGACTAACCCACACTTGGCTGCAATATTTTCAAGCAAATGTTTTTCTTAGTTTCATTGGATCACAAAGATTGGAAGAACAAAATAGGCCAAGTATTTATTTTTAATATAAAAAAGAATCAAATATAGTCTTAGGAAACTATTGAATTTTTACATGTTCTATCTTCCTCCTGAATGCACAGTTGGAAATTACATTGCATCTTCAAAGGACAGAGTAGATTGCCATATGAGACCTAAGTAATTTAAAGGTAGAAATCTTCTGTCATTGGCCTGATACTCCAGGCTGTAGAAATGACACTCTGTGTGATGATGAGTGGCAAAGATGCTCATTTCTTTTTCTTTTGTATTAGATATGGACAAATTGGTACAAAGTCATTCTAGAATCAATTAAAAAGGAGTTTTCCCTATAAATCTCAGATTGGTGGCCCAGAAAGAGGACTATTTCTCAGAAGGAAGAAGCAAATTCACAAGGTGTCAACTCTACCTCAGGAAATATGTCCTAAGATCCCAGAAGGCAATTCTTTCAGAAACCATAAAACATCCAGCGCCGGTGGCTCACGCCTGTAATCCTGGGTGCTCAGGAGACTGAGATCTGAGGATCATGATTCAAAACCAGTCCAGGAAGGAAAGTCTGTGAGACTCTTATTTCTAATAAACCACTAGAATACCGGAAGTGCCACTGTGGCTCAGGCGGTAGAGCACTCATCTTGAACTGAAGAGCACAGAGACAGCACCCAAGAACAGAGTTCAAGCCCCACGACCGACACAAAAGAAAAGAAAAGAAACCATTAAACATCCTTACGTGAGGACAGTCTCATGGTCCTAAGAGCCCCTCATTAGAGGGGCTTCCTTCCACCTCCCATTGTAATTTTTTTTTTTTTTTGGACAGTCGTGGGGCCTGAACTCTGGGCCTGGGCACTGTCCCTGAGCTCTTCAGCTCGATGCTAGCGCGCTACCACTTGAGCCACAGCACCACTTCTGGCTTTCTTTTTTCTGCTTATGTGGTGCTGAGGAATCAAACCCAGAGCCTCATGCATGTGAGGCAAGCGCTCTACCACTGAGCCACCTTCCCAGCCCTCCCATTGTAATTTTTAAGCAAACAGTCGCTGCGGTAAGATGAAGTGGCTGCTAAGGTACACATCAGCCTTCATTGCTCCCAGCAAAGCCTGCCTTCCCTAAAAAAGACCAACACCAAGAACAGAGAGAAATTTTGGCTTTAGATTAAATTTACAATTTTTGGTATCATACTGACCTGGTTATTTCACTTGAAAACTTGAAGAACATTGACTTGCAGATTAAAATTAAAAGTATTTAAAAATAAATGTATTCCTCATTACCTCACTCATGTAACTGTAACCCTCTGTATAGTATCTTTACAAAAAAAAAATGTATTCATTACCTTACTTATGTAACTGTAACCTCCCATTCATCACCTTTTCAATAAATTTTTTAATGATAAAAATAATTTTAGAAGTTTTTTTTTTGTTTTTTTGTCAGTGGGGGCTTGAACCCTGGGCCTGGCTGCTGTCCCTCAGCTCTTCAGCTTAAGGCGAGCGCTCTACCACTTGAACCACAGTGCCACTTCCCATTTTCCAGTGGTTAATTGAAGATAAGAGTCTCACAGACTTTCCTGCCTGGGCTGGCTTTGAACGCGATCCCCAGATCTCATCCTCCTGAATAGCTAGGATTACAGGCATGAGCTACTCGCTCACAGGTAAAAAAGTTATTTTAAAAACGGGATTGTAAGAAGATAAACATTTCATGATGTGATCCTAAAGTCTTATTTTTTTTCCTTTAAGGGAGTTTAGAGGTGCTAGTGATCAAATCCAAGCTTTGAGCATGCTTAGAGTTCTACCATTGAACTACATTCCCAGTCCCAAGAGTACTATAATTTTTCAATTAGATATACTATGTGTTATTAAAAGAGGGTATTACTTATGAAAAAATTAAAACATAATATTTTTTAAATTTTATTTTACTTTATTGTAAAGGTGATGTACTGAGGGGTTACAGTTACATACGTAAGGTAATGAGTGCATTTCTTGTTGAACAGTGTTGCCTCTCCTTCCTTTCCTCTCACTTTCCCTCCCTACCCCCAAGTAATGCTTTATATATATGGTTTCAGAGATCCTTTCTTACTGCCTAGCACTTTCCTGATAGCAAGTTGGACATCCTTGTTTCTGAGGCTGTAGACCATGGGGTTTAGTAGCGGAGTGACAATGGTGTATGTCACTGTCACGAGTCTGTCCTTATTAGACACGTACTTTGCTGTAGGCCTTAAGTAGATGAAAGAGGCACAGCCATAGTGAATAACTACAACCGTGAGGTGAGAGGCACATGTGGAAAAGGCTTTCTGTTTGCCTTCTGCTGAGGGAATCTTCAGGATAGTCCTTAGAATGCAGAGGTAAGAAACACAAATAAAGAAAAAGGGAACCACAAGGACAAGAACCCCACAGATGAATATAACAAGTTCATGGGCATCTGTATTGGTACAAGCCAGGCGAATGACTGGTGAGATGTCACAAAAGTAATGGTTGACCTCGTTGGTGCTACAGAAAGGGAGGCTGAACACCAAATTTACCACGGTAAGAGAAGCCAAGAAACCTCCAATCCCACAGGCAGCTGCCAACTTCCCACATACCTGCCAGCTCATCAGGATAGGGTAATGGAGAGGATGGCAGATGGCTACGTAACGATCATAACCCATTACCCCCAGCAGCAAGCAATTGGTTATGGCAAAACCAAGGAAGAAGAACATCTGAACGGCACAGCAGGTGAAGGAGATTGTCCTAGACACAGAAAGTAGGTTAAGGAGCATCTTGGGTAAGATGACAAAAGTATAAAAAGTCTCAGATGTTGAGAGGATGCCAAGGAAGAAGTACATGGGTGTGTGGAGGCTCTGATCC